AGGGATGGCCGGTGCGCTCACTGGCTGAGAGTGGTGCTGACCACACCGTGCTGAGGGTCGCAATCCCCTGACCGGTCAAAAATAAATAAATAAATAAACAGGCTTGCTCTGGGACCTGGACATTCTAAACATTAGTAAGTTTGCCTGGCATCCTTCCAAATAAAACTTCTGTGACATTTTTAAGGGCAAAATTTCAGAAACCATTTCCATAAGTCTCCCAGCCTTATCCATAAATTAGCAGGAAAGAGAGAATTTTGTTTGCTCTGTCTTGTTTAGTGCAGCACCCCCTCCCTCTCCAGGTCTGACCCAAGATAACTGGTGACATTGCAGGTGGAGGGTCTCTAGCTAGTGCAGTATCTATTTTATCTCTTTTGAAACTTTTATAGATTTTTTAAATTGAGAGCTACTCAGTGAGATACAAGAAAAAATGAGTCACTTAAAAAGCATCTTAATTAGTCAAGGGAGACAACTGCAAAAAGAGGAAGGGTCAGCTGCACCTTGCCGGATAAGCTCGTTAAGGCAGTCCTGGTCGTGAGCTGGACCGCACAGGGGAGGCAGGGCCAGAGGGTGCAGGGGACACTGGGCTTGTAGCTCCAGGTCTCACCGTGGGCCAGTGGTCCAGCTTTCCCAGCCTCTATCTTCACTGCATGAAATAATAGTCCAGGCTCCTTACAATCTGAGCGTTTTCGTTGCCCTTATTTTTGAAATGCTTGCTCTATTAGTTTGCCATAACAAAGTGCCACAGGCCGGGTGGCTTAAGCAACAGACATTTATTTTCTTACGGTTCTGGAAGCTGGAAGTCGGAGACCGAAGTGTCCCAGGGATGGCTCCTTCTGAGGCCTCTCTCCTTGGCTTGTAGATGTGTTCCCCTGTGTCCTCTTGTGGTCGTCCCTGTGTGTGTGTCTGTGTCCTAATCTCCTCGTCCTGTAAGGACACCAGTCGTGTTTGATGAGGACCCACCCTAGGTTCCTCGTTTATACCTTAATCGCCTCTGCAAAGGCTCAGTCTCTAAATACAGAGACCTGCTGAGGTCCTGGGGGCTAGGACGTCAGCCTGTGAATGGGGACGGGGGACACGATTCAGCCCATGACACTCACTAAAACTGTTCGTCACTATCTGCACTGCCTCCCTGAGTGACGAATGCCTCCCTCCATGACTGCACTGCGAGGGGACGGCTCCCTGGACTGCCGCGGCACCCTGGGCTGATCACGTCTTCCTCGTCAATTTCAGCACGTNCATAGGGATGGCCGGTGCGCTCACTGGCTGAGCGTGGTGCAGACCACACCGTGCCGAGGGTCGCGATCCCCTGACCGGTCAAAAATAAATAAATAAATAAATAAACAGGCTTGCTCTGGGACCTGGACATTCTAAACATTAGTAAGTTTGCCTGGCATCCTTCCGAATAAAACTTCTGTGACATTTTTAAGGGCAAAATTTCAGAAACCCTTTCCATAAGTCTCCCAGGCTTATCCATAAATTAGCAGGAAAGAGAGAATTTTGTTTGCTCTGTCTTGTTTAGTGCAGCACCCCCTCCCTCTCCAGGTCTGATCCAAGATAACTGGTGACATTGCAGGTGGAGGGTCTCTAGCTAGTGCAGTATCTATTTTATCTCTTTTGAAACTTTTATAGATTTTTAAAATTGAGAGCTACTCAGTGAGATACAAGAAAAAATGAGTCACTTAAAAAGCATCTTAATTAGTCAAGGGAGACAACTGCAAAAAGAGGAAGGGTCAGCTGCACCTTGCCGGATAAGCTCGTTAAGGCAGTCCTGGTCGTGAGCTGGACTGTGAGCTGGACCGCACAGGGGAGGCAGGGCCAGACGGTGCAGGGGACACTGGGCTTGTAGCTCCAGGTCTCACCCTGGACCAGTGGTCCAGCTTTCCCAGCCTCTATCTTCACTGCATGAAATAATAGTCCAGGCTCCTTACAATCTGAGGGTTTTCGTTTTTCTCAATAAACCCACCAAGTTGTTATCGCCCTTATTTTTGAAATGCTTGCTCTATTAGTTTGCCATAACAAAGTGCCACAGGCCGGGTGGCTTAAGCAACAGACATTTATTTTCTTACGGTTCTGGAAGCTGGAAGTCGGAGACTGAAGTATCCCAGGGCTGGCTCCTTCTGAGGCCTCTCTCCTTGGCTTGTAGATGTGTCCCCCTGTGTCCTCTTGTGGTCGTCCCTGTGTGTGTGTCTGTGTCCTAATCTCCTCGTCCTGTAAGGACACCAGTCGTGTTTGATGAGGACCCACCCTAGGTTCCTCGTTTATACCTTAATCGCCTCTGCAAAGGCTCAGTCTCTAAATACAGAGACCTGCTGAGGTCCTGGGGGCTAGGACGTCAGCCTGTGAATGGGGACGGGGGACACGATTCAGCCCATGACACTCACTAAAACTGTTCGTCGCCTCCCTGAGTGACGTATGCCTCCCTCCATGACTGCACTGCGAGGGGACAGCTCCCTGGACTGCCGCGGCACCCTGGGCTGATCACGTCTTCCTCGTCAATTTCAGCACGTTTGAATGTGCAAAATAAACCCTACAATAGCCTCACCCCCCACTAGACCGCAGGCTGCTAAGGACACAGTTATGTTTTTAACTACTTTCTGTCCCTGTTTGCACCTGGTGGAGTGCCCCTCCCTGGTGACATGTATTTGGTTAAATGCCTCTAATTTATCTGTGTCCAATCACATACTGGACAGATTGAGACTACATGAGGGACCGATGTATTTGATGAGTGAACTAATAAACGTTTATTTTTTCTTTTGCACATAACACTTTTCCATTTCATGAGTCTATTTTTTTGAAACAGAGTCATTCTCCATTTAAAAAAAATTCCTTCTATTCCAAAAGTATTTGCATGTTATCTGTAATACATAGATAATAATATTACTGTGTATTAACATTAAATAATTGTCCTTTTATTCTTTATCCTGTATTAGCCAAATTGAACGGTTCAAAATTGCAAGGGGAAAAATTCCTTTTGGAAGAGCGTAAATTTTTACATCTCTCAAAAATGGAAGGTTTTAAGACATTGTCTGTTTATCAAAGACTGCTTCTGTGACTCATTTATCAGTCTATAAACTCAATGGCCTGATCATAATTCCTCTGGGAATGACGCACCAACTTGACATATCGAATCTGGGCAGGGGGCGTAAATGTCAGGTCCCAGCTGTATTCTGGTGACAACAACTTGGTGGGTTTATTGAGAAAAAAGTATTTGTTGAGGTGCCTTTCGTAGGTGCTGTTAAGTCCATGTTTGATGTCCTGGGTAGTCGCACTCAGATAGTTCTGGATGAGGTTTAACATCTCATGGGGCGTGCCACCAACAACCGAGCCGTCGTAATAGAAATCTCCCTGTCCAAACGGGATGTAAGCCGCTGACTTAGGCCTCCTCTCGTAAGGGACGTTCTTGGTGTTTTGAAAATACCACCATGCGTGGAGCTGAGCCACAGAGGTGCCCAGGGTCTCCACCCCAAAGTCGTTCTGGAAGACCTGGCTGGCCGGCATGCTGAAGAGGAAGTCGACTTCATACTGGATGTGCCAGAGGACGTGCTGGCCCAAGCTCCTCATGCGCGCCACGTCGTGGTCGTGCCACAGGTCTTCCTCCTCCACTCTGAATATCTGGAACGTTCGAAGAGGACTTGGCTCCAGGTCAGGCAGCTGGAAGGAGACGTCCGCTATGACGTAGACGACAACTCGGTAGCCGGTCATGAAGTACTTACTGGCTGACGTTAGGAACAGCTTCAGGTGCTCACCCGCCAGCCTGGGAAGCGCACACAAAGGAGGAAGCTTAGTCCTCTAAAGCCCATCAGGAGGTTTAAAAAAGCAAGTTCTAGCGGCCTACAGTGGCACTGGGTGTGTTAATTAACAATAATTTGCTGTATGTTCTTAAATGGCTGGAAGAGAGGGCCTCAAACACTCATCACAAAGAAAAGATGTATTTGGTGGTGATGGAGACGCCGTCGCCCTGATCTGACCATCACACATTGTGCACAGATATTGACATAGAACCCTGTGCCCCTCAATCCCGTGCAGTTAGAGACGCCCCCGCTGCGCTGTCTCACCCGCGCTGTCGATGCCACAGAAGGGGCGGGGGGCTGAACCGGCTGCTGAGCCACAATGCAGCCAACCCCCAGGCCCGGGAAAAGCCGTCACGCTTCGGAACGGCTGTCGGGAAGGAAGGGAGCGAGAGCTGAGGGGACATTAGTCACAAGATTCCCGAGTGGTGTGAAGGACCGGCCACCAGTGGAGAAAGTAACTAGCACAAGCTTTCCGTGCAGGACGGCCAGGAGTAAGGGTCGCGGTGTGTGATGAGAAGCTCTTCGGGGACAGAAGGCCCGTGGATGCTCAGCCTCGTTTTCCCAAAATAAAAAAGGGCAAAGGTCAGTGGCACCCACCTGCCAGCGGCAAAGACCGCCAAGCCCACGGTGAGGTTTTGCCTTCCGTAGTATTTTCCCAGGGCGTCTCTGTTGAAAGTGCCTTCCCACACCACTGGAGCGCGCCAGTTCGTTCTCGTTATAACATCAGGGCGATTTCTGTGGAACAGACAAGAGCGAGCTCAGTGGGTCCCACGTCACCACGGCAGCAGCAGCGGGCGCCTGGGCAATGCCAGCTAATGCCAGAGAGCACTCACTATGTGCCAGGCGCCGTGCGAGAGGGTGCTACATCACTAGCCCTGTTCGTCAAATGGGGAAACAGAGGCACGGGAGGTTGAGCGAGTCGCCTAATATAACACAGCTGGCAGGTGGCAGAGCCGGGACGCGACTCTTGGCTCCGTTTCGCCCTCTGCCTTCTCAGCGCAGCAGCTGCTTGTTTGACCTCTGGCTGCAGCTTCACGTTAGGCAGCCCGGAGCCCGCACATTCTCCGACTGCAGCCTGGGGCCGGGACCGTGGCAGGACCACCCCCTCCTTCACCACGCCTCTCATTTCCCCTCCTTCCCCATTTTCTTTCTCCCCCTCCCTTTTTCCTAGAAGTTTCTAGAGATGCCTTTTAAGCCTTCTCCCTCATGCTTTCAGCCCATCGCACAATACAGCAGAAATTTTAAAAAATGAGTCCAAAAAGGGAGAGAGACACTAGGTTTGCTTTTAAAAATAACAAAGTAACAACAGAATTTAAGATAGGCAAGCCTGGTTCAACATTTGAAAATCAACCGATGTCAAGCAGCATCTGAGAAGCTGGAGGACAATCACACACCGCGTCCGCTGGTGCAGAACAAGCGTCACTCGAAGCTCAGTACCCATGTACGGCCAAAGCTCCCAGAGAAAAACAGGAGCAGAGGGGAATCCCCTCAACTTGATTCTAAACATCTACAAAAATCCCAAAGCTGACACACTGAAGAGTAAAAGGCTGAAAGACCCTCCGCAAGGTCAGCAGCGCAGCGAGGACGTCCACGCTCAGTGTCCTGACTCAGCGGGACGGTGGAAGCTCCAGAACCACGAGGCACGAGAGAACAGCAGACGTCAGATTGACAAGGAGAAAGTAACACTGTCCCTATTGCAGATTACCTGACTGTCTACACAGAAAATCCCAGGAATCCAAAAAAAAAAAAAAGTCTCCTGGAGCTGAGAAGCGAATGCAGCAAGGTTGCAGGATGCAAGGTCAGCACACAAAAAATTAATCTCATCCCCATATGCTAACCATGAACACGCAGAAAGTGACATGAAAAAACCCCCACTGCTTACAGTTGCTCCGAAGAAAATGAAATCCTTTACTTTCAGAAGGAGAGGACAGACCTGTAG